ATGGAACGGTCCAATGAGGAGCTGGCTCCTCAAAATATGCTAATGAGGCCAAATCCAGCGTTCTGATTGGTCGAGGGGCTTGAAATGATTACGTAATATCGACTATACAGACGGGGTGCACTACTCAGTTCCCAGTTTCTAAAATCTCCTTGAAATCGTCTGACTTCTCGAACGTTTACTTCGTCAAACACTTCCTGTCGAGTTTAGGCTTTGATCGATGTAATTAGATTTTTTCGCACCATGGCACCCTTTATTCCCCGCACCGATCTGTCGTTAATTGTTTCTGTGTGTCACTAGGAGTAACTGTTGATATGATTTGCGTTGCAAGTACTTGAATTGTTTTAGATAATCTTTGATCGTCTGTATATATTCCTATCGTCCAGGCCGGCGAGGTGGAGGTAAAGGAAAGTGATATCGTTCGGTGTACTACAATAAAATGATTTTTCTACATATAATACCCATATAAGGATTATGTCTATATTCAACTCTGACGTTACGATTTGCTGGCATACTATGTTTTATAATATATTTTAAATATTTAATATGTATGTTTAAAATCGTCCTCATTTTTATAACCCCTTTCCTTGGCAAAGAGGGAAGGGGTTATTTTATTTAGATGTTCGTCTCCCTCACCAAGCAGATGCAATGATCCTATCGCCAGGTATCTTTTTCCCCCCACTTGGGCTGTAACGTCTTCGTTGGCGGTGGAGGCGGTTCATCCCGAAACAAGTAACCAAGCGGTGTGCGAGGCCACCATCTTGGCGTATTCGAATTGAAAAAAATGAGATCCATGGTCTGTCGTCAATTTGGGGGATTTCAGATTTTTTTTTACTTTTTGGAGAGAGAGCGGCAGATATAGATTGAGAGGTTGTTCAAGTTTTTTAAGATTGTCACAGAACTCTCCATTCTCTACTACTCGAGGTTCTCTATTCTGTTTGCAGTGTAAACGGCTCTGAACATCTCAATTAAGTCTGATGTGTTATGTGATGCGAGGTAGAATTCTCTAATTAAACGAAATTAAATGAAATGGAATTGAAATTTAATTATAAAGCTACCGTGACACCACTAGCACTGAAGAAACATACTTCAATTTATTAACACACATGTACAATTCTAATGCCCTCCCGTTGTTACACGGCGGACTGCAAACGGTTGACGTTCTGTATTACAAAAAGTGCCCTGACGTCAACTAGTAGCCGGGGGCTCCGATTACAGCGATGCTGTATTGTCATTAAAGTAAGAGCGTTACGTGACGACAGGAGGTCGGTGCAATTCCAAGTAAGTCCATCAGCGCTATTGATATCTCGGTAGAATTAATCATTTCGTTTATCAGAGAATTGCTTTGCAAAGTAAGTCAAACGGGTGAAAGGTGGCGAGTTACACAACAGCAGACTATCAGTGTCCGTATAGAAAAACTGGTGCTGTTCTTGTGCTTGTTTTTTTAATCGATAATTGTGAAAAGTCGTACGTGAGCGTTTTATACAAGTTTAAGATAGAGATGCCACATTAGGCTGGTTTGTTAACACGGTGTTGGCCTTGTATACACTCCCCAAAACAACGGTCTAACCTTAAAGATGGTTGTAATTTTGTGATTGGGTACAAACACCATTTTTCACAATTTATTGTTTGTGAGTAGCTTTATTCATGTTAAATTTCTGACATTTTCCATCGTTTTACTAAAGACCTGTGGCAACTTTGATTTTTTTCCAATAAGTATGAGTTTCAAAAAATTTTCCTTCATTTTTAAAATGAGTCTTGATTGATGGTAATTTGTTTTTCCCCGACAAACGCTTAGTAACTCATAAATTTGGATCCTATTCCGCCCTGAGAACAAGTATTTTTCGGATGACTAATTCTTGACATCACTGATTGTGGAATGCAATGCTAACTACTTGTAGACGTGTTTCATGATCCGTAACATCATGATTTCGTTATCCTGTTTTTGTAAGATTTTGTAGTTTAAAAAATTAATATCATGATGTCTCGATGACGAGTTTTTTTTTTCAAGCGACGTCGCTAATAAGTTGCCTGTTCAGTTTAAAAGGCTTGGTTTGGTGACAGGAAACACAAAATACAATCGTAAAAGTTTCCACACATTTAACAACTGAAGACAAAAGCTTTCCAAAAACAGCTCTTAAACTTGTTTGTTCAAGTGTTTTTGGCCCAGTGTCCCAACGGAACAGTTGCATCCTGAAAGCCAAATACTTCCTATGAAAATAGCAACTCAATACATTTCCGATGCCATTTTTAAGCAGTTAAGTATTTATTTCCAATCTACATGCAAAAAAGCAGCTCTAGCACAATTGAATTAAGTTAATAGTGTTTAGTAACTAATAAGTATTGGTATCATCGATAAGCCCAATGAAATACATTACATAATTATGCTAATCCAACCAAGGAACAACAGTGCACGAAATTTCATTTCTTTTCCTAAAGTCGATATTGTTTATTTTGCTGCCAACACTATGCTTAGCCGGCACCATGTCATTGATAGTATTAAACTTGAGGTTCCCCTTCAAGTTAAATACAGACGTGCAGCCATTATGAACTGGGACGGTTTGAAGTACATGTATATTTAATAGGAGAGTAATCAAAAGAGGCGAGTCTTTTTTTGTTGACATTTGTGAAAAATACCCTCAATCTCGAGTGTATATTAATAATCAAATTCTTAAAACATTGTAATAATTCTTAAAACATTGTAATAAAACTTCGGCGTGTTGCATCACCTTTTACTACACATACACTAACATAATACATACTTCCAGAGCTTTTTGTGTGTTTCCTTTTCTTTTATGATCCCTTAAAAACGGATCCGGTGAAAACTAAGGGCCATGATTTATTTTTCTAAAAGAGTGGTATTTTCAGCTAAACTCGGCTCTGCCTTCACCACATGGAACTGCAGATCAAGCCAAAAATTGGTGTGTCCTCTTATCAAAATTTGAAGACCTAAGGTCAAAGATGTATTGGTCTCACATGAAATGACCCTTTTATACCCCCTAGAAGCGAGCAAAGAATAAAACGTATTGTGTTTAAAGCTATGTGTAGGTCACAGCGGTCTCCTATAAGAGAAAACAGCTTCAGCTTTAGTTGAATCAAAAACGTAATTGTTCTGTTACTTTGAGCATGGTTTGATCTTACCCAGTAAATGCATTTAGTATTTTTGGCAATTGACTCGAAACAAAATTGACAGTGGCATTTTAAGCAGTTCAAAACTAGCAGATACCTAGCGTAACTCTAGTCCAGCAAAAAAGGCTATTCTAAGAATATTTTACTTGAAGCTGTAGTCAGGTAATTGTAACTTGTATCATTAGTCGTGTTTCATACTTCATAAAGGTATTTAGCTCAACATCCTCTGCACCACACTGTATATTATTGTGTTATATGTAAAAAAAACCCCAATTTTATCTGGATCCTGCTCTGTACGGTTTAACAAGATCGTTAAATTTTAGTTGGCGTAGTCAGGAAATCAATTTCTCTTTGACGAAATTATAAATTGAAGATTTATCTGCCATGATAGTCGACCTAACAGTACAGACTTTCTTCACATGCACAATTGAACCATAAGCTTCACAATGAAGGTGTTAATCCTTGTATTATCTGACTTGTACAAACACTATCAAGCAAGCGTGGTGAAAGGATGTGCAGCCAAACACAGGTCAATTTTTTTTGTAGATTTAGGCCTACAGCATAAACGGGTTCACAACCAGGTTCTGCATGGGATCGTTTTCGCAGGATTGGCATGTGCAGTCCTTGATCTCATAGTACGGATGATAAAACTCGGTATTGTTGTTACATTTCATCTTGACGTAGTTCTGCTCAAGCTGTTTAGGTTTGCAGCAACCGCAGTTGAAACTGACGTGGGCGTCTGGCAAAATGGTGATGCGGCTGTTGGATGGACAGGCCCCCTCGCAGTCCGTGTAAGGGATGCGTCTCTCAGAGAAGCAATCGTCGATTACAACCAAACTGGAGTGCTTTCTGTAGGAGCAGTCTCTTCCGTCTGGAACTGTATAGTGTAAGTTTTTCCTTTTATTCCACTATTTGGACATGTTTGCCTAATACTTTATGTGAAGGTGTATAAAAATCGCCAAGGTCGGAAAATGACGTGCCAGCTTCCAAACACATGTACACATGGGATGGCTTTTGTGTGATTGCTGTGGCACATTCTTTTTATTTAATCTTTAATAGAACTTACCACAAACGGGGCAGCATCTGTCTGGACTTACTTCAGTTAGCCTTCCCTGATAACAAAAGAAGGAAAATACAAATTTAGAATGGTTATTAGCTGAACAAGGGGCAATTGCTTCTATGTTTAATCCGTACATTCATCGACTGGTTCCGTTTGTTTAATAGTGTGACAGTTTCTCTTGCAATGAGCCCCGAACTGTACCAAAAGACGGCGCAATTTTCTTTGCAACTGAGGCTTGTTTGGTCAGAACCGAACTTCGCTGGTTCACAAACGACTTGGAAATGCGCATGCTACAGCTTCATCGCTACCAACAATACGAACTCTTTTCAACCGATGGCAGAGCTTCTGGTTAAGGCAGATAAATGCTGCTGATTGATCTGCACAATGAAAGGAATACACTCTACAGCAACTAAATATGATTTTTCTTTGTCATAATATACAGCGTGATTCTCCCATGTTTGTCGTTTGGACAAAGGTATTTTTTTACATCCTGTGTGATTTCTCATTCGTACTTGTCGTTTTATTTACTTACATTAGGACAAGTCCGATTACACTTAACCTCCTGATACTTAATATCTCCATCCTCCCCACAAATCAGTATAGTGCACGGTTGAGAAACAGGTATGAGGTCTCCCTCCTGTGAGACAGATACATATAGAAAAACAATGCACATGTAGTTTTATTCTCTGAACAATACTTTACCGTAAATTTTCAGATCTCTATAATTTCAGCTCGAGTAAGTTAATGGCAGAAACGAAAACTGGTTCTTAATTATACACCTCCTGTCTAATTTGTAGATTTTCTTCACTGTTCAGTGTAGCAATCTGCCATTGATTACATTTAATGTCGTTTAATCATTTATAAGTGATGTGGAATACTTGTCCTGTTAAATGGCGTTTAGGCAAATTGTTTTTGTTTGGCTAATACAACATGTAAAGGGCTTCGCTATTTGAAGTCGTTCATTGACATATTCTTTTTGTCTAGTACACCACGACGCGGTGAATAATACTTAAATAGTTGGGAATGTTAATAATAATAATAATATTTATTCTGGTAATTCCACATACAAGACAAACACAAGACACATCGGGCCGCCCAGGTGAACATTAAAGTTTCAAAATAAACTATTGACAAAAGGCGTATGTCCCCCAAAACCCAAATAGAAAAATGAGGCAAGAAAGGGCACGTAACAAACACAAAATTAGTCCACATCTAATAGGGAGACTAATCTTTAACTCAGCAGCTCGACTTGAGTTTACTTACATGGTACCTTTCACCTTCGAATTTGCAGAAAGACTCAGCTGAAAGAAAAGAATAAAATACTAAAAACAAACAAATCAACGCATATTTGGAGCACATTCCTTGACGAGGTACCGAACAACATATAACTTTTTATTACTTGGTTTACAGGCTTGGGCATGGGCTTTCAAGCTTACAGGTGAACTTGTGAACTAGTCTTATAAACTTGCTGATGTTCTTTTTTAACTTGCAATAAGCTTACACATACATATACAAACCTGTGGCAACTTACGTTGCACATGGGCTTACAAGCTTTAGAATACCTGTTGGATATACATTTACAGGGCAAACTTGTTTAAAATTCAGACTAATTCTTGTAAATTTGCAAGATGCACTACTAAATATATATTTTGCACATGTGCTTAAAAGCTAAAGTCTGTTCCCTGAATACCAGGCTGATGGTAGCCTAACAATTATTCATTCCTTGGGGAGTGATACTCAGAGTCCAAACTTACTAATTCCGCAGGAAACTAAATTGTAGCTACATGTATCTTACTGAATTTCTTTAATTGCTTCATTTAGTTGTGAACAAGCGGGTAACTTACTTAAGAAGATACGACCATGCTCAACAACTTTACTTAGTACTTAGTCAAGTGGCAATGTTAGAACTAAACGGTGCGCCAGGTAAGACCATGGGCTCTACACGAATTGAGAGGGCACGGCACGAGGGTATCGCTATACTCGGATCGGCCAGGCCGATGGTAGAAGTGGTCCACCACAGTTACAGAACAACAGGTGCTGGACAGGGCCAGCAGTGTGTACCGAGTGCACTACACTGCCCCTACTACAATGTGGTATGCGCAATGGAGGATCGAGGCCCTACACCAACGCATACGGGAAGGACCTGGGCCTCTCAGTATTCTTTGTGAGATACATGACACTGGTATGTATGTCAGGAGAAATGGTCAGTTTGATACGAAGACGGCCCCCTATAAACGAGGTCACAGCTAATTCTGAGGCTAATTTAAACCGTACTAGGGATAAAAAAAGCGAGCAAGACATTCACGATTCTAACCATGCTTGTCTCCATCAGAACGATATCCAACAGCAATGATGAACACTACTTCACCATAGGCCTAACCTTGTGTGTGAGAGGTTTTCATATTGCCCCACTCTCGGGGTTTTCGAATCAGATGCTTACTACTTTGACTACGGCGCGCAAAATACTGATAAAAACCTGGCATTTGTTGAGGCTTGAAGTTAAATCAACAAACTTATATGGTACAAATATTTGTACTCAAAAAATGTGACCCTTAACTTTCAAATATTATTATTTTTTTTTTACTTTTTCGGGTCCAAAGTTGAAGTGTAAATAATTGTGATTTATCTCCATTATGACAGTGCAATAAAGCATTGGTTGTTACATGAGGTCTCGGTGACCAGTCCCTTACACATGAACCAATTTATACAAATCTCCTGATGAGATGAATGCTTCTTTTCTTTCATTAAGGCACGTAACAGTCTGTTTCCCAGGTTCATATTACAGCGGGCTGGCACTGAAGCTTAGTGAGGCATGAGCTCTGTAGCAGCATGCATGCTTACTGCCGACCTTGTAATCTTTCTTGCAACATTTCACATGTATATGAAATTTGTGCTTTATAAATGAATAAATTATTAATTATTCCTGTAGGAGGTATGGGCGTAAATCCCCGGGGGATGGGGGTATGTATTTCCCCCACTTTTTGAGGTGGAGGTGGGTATTGAATCACCCCCCTCTTTTGTGGTGAGGTGAAAATTAAAGCGGATTATAGAGAATTTTTAGACTTACCAACGAGTGAAATGCATTCAATTCCACTCAGAAAAGGGGAAAAAAAATTTAAAACCGTATGCCATTGTGATGTAAGATTCTGCACGACGTTAATGGATGTTAATCAATATCATCAAAGTAGACCTCTACGTAGAGTCACATACTCCATCTAACCTTTGCATTTTTTCATGGCCGGAAAAGTCATCTCCCAGCCTTCCTCGTCCCCAGTTTCCGACACAAATTTATCCCGGTGGCCCACTGGTAGGGGGTTATCAGCGAGGAATTAACCCCAAGGCTTGCAAATGCATTGTAAATGTATATTTGAGAACACCGACAGCTCATTCAGTGGTTGTATGTGCAAACCGCACACATCTTATCTGCGAAGTTCTAAGTTCAACATGATTATCTTATACTGGAGGGAACTATGGATCAGTTAGTATATCTTTCACACGTTTTAAACTGCATTTTATACAGTTAAGTGTCTTAAAATACATTAATGAATATTAGCCCCACTGTCAAGATTAAAATGTGCAGTGTATGGTTGCTATTTACTAAATTTTGATGGGGGGAAATAAGGTGGTTAGTTTGTCTTTTGTCGTCCGTTGATTGGCCAATATTGTTCTGTTAAATGAAGAGTTTATGGTATACCTGTGCCGGTCGTTGATGCTTCAGTTGTTACAAGTGGTGGTGTTGTGAGCAGTGTGCGTGTTTCTTCAATCGTCGGCGGTGCTATTCAAAAACGCAAACCACAAAGCAATGCCTTAGCTCTGTACAGCATTTTTAAACAGTGCATTTCCACAATTTGTTTCGCAGAAATGGAAAATAATGTTTTTTTACGGAAATTAGGGCAACTCGTGCTTGGACCTCCTGCAGACCACTCCAATATTTGCAATGTTTCATTAACCACAACCATTAATTTGACAGTTTTAAACAGCACTATACAAAGAAAAATTAAGTGTCTTATCACAAAGCTGAAAACCTTTCCATTGAATGTAATTACACTAACAAAATTTGTAGAGGTTTTTGGTTGAAGTCCAAGAAGCTATATTAGCAGTCATTTTACAATTTTTTAAGAGTTAGGTATTCCTATTTAATATTAGTTTCACTAAAAGGCTGAATTCTTACCTGGTGTTGTTGTACATCCTGGGATGGACTCGCAGAACATCTCAAATTTAAGATCAGTACTTTGTCCATAGTTAAGCTTGCAAACACAACGTAGGCATCCCTTTGTGACCACGTCTCCCGGCTAAAATTGGGCAAAATTGGAAATAGAAATTGGTTTTTTATAACAAAAAGATAAACACCAAAGTAACAAAGATGGTTGTATATTCTTTGATAAATGTGAGGCAGAGTTTTCACATAACAAGGTGTATTACAAGTATTATGAATTTAAGGACACTATAATCATATTACAAACTATATCACAACGTTTATAGCAAAAAACCACTACACTTGATTAAAGAACAGCGGGATATGGAGACAACAACTTTTGCTCCCTTGCAAAACTATTCGAGCTAAGGACAAGAAAGTCTGAAGTTAATTACATTATAATATACACCATGGAGGAGACAGGCGCCACTCCCACACGGTTGTTTAATTTTCACACACATGTAGGTCATCCATGAAAAGCCGATGTGATATTCCAGAGATTTCTCACTCAGATCACCCCCGTAGTCTCTGAGATAGCCTCCTGAACAATTGCACGGCGACGGATAATTCCCGTATTGGGCGGCGAACGGTTTACAGTAGACGTCTTTCATAAAAGGTGGATCCCTGTCCTTCATTTCGTAGTTTTGGTATTCACATGGAATAGGTTCCGTGACATGACAGTTGGCATGGCACACTGTATGGGAAATGAAAAAAACAATGGTACTTTATCTTAAAAAAGAAAGAAGTCTATAAAACATTTGATAAAACACCCAATATACCGCAGAACTAAGTTTGAGAAATGCTGGAAGGACTTTAAGTTGTTTAAAGGTACCATGTGATAGAAACGTTTCACTGAAATCCTGCAAACTGCACCTTTGTGTTTGAAGTGACCAGAATTTCTGGTTTTGTTTTTGCTAGTTTTATCTGTATTTGAAGGCCCTTATTATGCTTATGCAAATATGTATACTAATGAGCAAAATTCTGATGTAATTCGAGCTTTTGAGTCTCAACGTTACGTTGAGTTTTGGCCCAAAAATTGCTAGATTGTTTTTGTTATTCAGTATCGAATGTTTTCATTTCCTTTGGCAATTTATTGTGGTACATGTATATGGAAATGAGCCCATTAACAACTTTTTGTAATAAATGCATTCAAAGGGCAAAATTTGAGGATCAAAATTTCAACATGAAACGTTCTTCCTGGATTTTGATCACAGTACCAGCGCCCTCACCTGTCTGGAAAAGCTTGGTTAATTTTAAATGTTTAAAAAGTGCACATACAGTTCCCTTAACTCCAAACAAGATTTCAGGAAGTTTATATAGAGTGCAAAGGAGGGCACAGAGAAATAGTGATTTAAAGACAAATTTTAGCATTGTTCCTTATTTAAGGTCTAAAACATTTTTTTCGTCCAAATGCAACAAGTATTTATCATATCCTACCCTTGTTCATGCTGCAAAACCTGGTTTAGTCACGTTAAAGCTAGGGCCTCCCCTAGCCAGAAAAAAATATAAAAAATCCGGCCAGCCTCCAGCCAACTCCCATAAGACTGTGTGTTAAGTGACCCCAGGTGTACAATCTAATGAAGTAATTACAAACAGTGCCTGGGCCAGGCAGTGGAATGTTTCTTATCAGTAACAGCTGTCTGGAACTTGTCAGAGGCCTCTTTCGGCTGTCTTTGAAGTGTTATTTTGGTGGTGGGGGGTGTTGTGGTGGTGATGTGGCTTGGCTGGCGCGTGGCAAGGCCCCCCCTCAAATCGGAATAGCCTGGGAAAAGCCCCCCCCCCCATGGTACTGTGATGTACTTTTGGTGGTTTTTAAGAGCTGTAGAGGCTAGGGGACAGGCACTGAAGCATTTATATACCTTTAGGACGGACTCAGGGATCTGCAACCCTAAGAAATGATACGGTCTCTTTTGGCGAGTCCGCTCCCGTCACCACCAAAAAAAAAAAAAAAATCATACCCCATCCCAGGGTTTCAGGTGTTTTAATACGTTGACATACATTTCAATCCGTCATTCAAGTAGAGGTGAACCAGTTTTGTGTGCTCAGCTTTGTTAAAATTCGATAATCCCATGGGGTTAAGTTGTGCTCATTTTGGTCCTTATTATGATGGCATGTAATTTTGCTTGGGGCAAATAGAGGGATCCCAATACGACTCTTTAGCGTCGATCTGCGCACTTCCACGTTTGAAAACGAGGCTGTATGTGTCAGCTTCAATTCTAAATACGATCAGACGACTTAAAGTACGGAGTCAAGACACAAAATATATACATTATATAACACGCAGACTTTTCAGGCGGCAAATTTTTGTGGAAGAGTCTTTTAAGATGAGTTATCTGATTGCATCTAAACATAACAATCTAAATTCTCCGGACCAGAGACACTATTGCAATACCTCATTATTCGTGGAAGCTTTATATTTAGCGATCACCATATCCGGAATGGTCTGATTCTTATCACAAACAGTGTATAGTGCAACCCATCCCTTAATGCAATTAAACAAAAGCTTGCCCCGAATTACGGGGTATTACAGCAGTCGCTTTAGTGTGGAGAATTCAAAATATTAATTTTAAGAATTCGGTGTACCAGATTTTTTTCAAATCTAACTGGGAAAGGTCAAGTTATTCGGGTGAATGTTATACCACTTGATACAGAATATACAGTTATTTTATACCAAATATCAGCCCCACTGTCAAGATTAAAGATTTGCAGTGTATGGTTGCTATACGTTTGATTGGGGAAATAAAATAGTTGGTCTTTCGTTGTCCTTTGACTTGCCAATATTGTTCTGTTAAATGAAGGGTTTATGGCATACTTGTGCCAGAAGGCGTAACAAGAGGAGCTGCAGACTGGGTCGTTGATGCTTCAGATGTTACAAGTGGTGGTGTTGTGAGCAGTGTCCGTGTTTCCTCAATCGTCAGAAGTGCTATTCAGAAAACGCAAATCATAAAGCAATGCCTTAAATTTGTTCAGCATTTTCAAACAGTGCATTTTCACCATTTGTTTCGCAGAAACAAATAATGAAAAAAAAAATTCTTTTTACGGAAATCGGGGCACCTCGTGCCTGGACCTCCTGCAGACCGTTCCAATCTTTGCTATATTTTATCAACCACAACTATTACTTCGAGAGTTTTTAAACTACATTATTTAAACACAATTAAGCGTCTTATCACACAAGCTGAAAACCTATTCATTGAATGTAATTACACTAACGAAATGTTTAAAGGTTATGGGCAAATGTATGGAAAGCTATATCAGCAGTAATTTTGCAATTCTTTATAAGAGTTAGATATTCCTATTTTAATATTAGTTTCACTAAAAGCCTGGATTTTTTACCTTGTGTTGTTGTACATCCTGGGATGGACTCGCAGAACATCTTAAATTTAATATCAGTACTTCCTCCATAGTTAAGCTTGCAAACACAACGTAGGCATCCCTTTGTGACCACGTCTCCCGGCTGAAATTGGGCAAAAATGGAAATAGAAATTGGTTTGTTATAAAGAGAAGATGTTAGATATTCTTCAAACTGTGTGTCTCGTCTGATTACAACTAAATATATTTACAAGCCAACAACGAAAGGAAACACCAGAGACTTTCTACTTAGTTCTGAAAAGGCTACATGTATTTACATAAATTTACAACTATTTACACTATCTCGTCAGTCGGTAATTTGCGGTCAATCCAACCTTACTTAAGTCTTCACATAGTACTTGTAGACAATTATTAAGCTGACTTCATACAAACTTAACAGCTCCTGGCTGCAAGGACTAAATAACACGCATGAGAAGTAACAAAAGACTAATCTCAAAATGATGCAGATAGTAGTATTGGAGGAAACGTCTGGGCTTAACCTTTTCCTCAAAACGGGAAATACAACAACTTTCACAAAAGAGAGTAACCAAAGTGTCAGAGATAGTTATATTCTTGCAGGGCAAAGATTTCATAACATACATCTTGATTAAGGAACAGTGGAATATGGAGACACCCCTTGTTTTTTTTCAAAACTATTCGAGGTAAGGACAAAAACATGTACAGTTAATTACCCTATAATATACACCATCAAGGAGACAGGCGCCATTCCCACATGGTTGTTCAATTTTCACACACATGTAGGTCATCCATGAAAAGCCGATGTGATATTCCAGAGATTTCTCACTCAGATCACCCCCATAGTCTCTCAAATACCCTCCTAAACAATTGCACGGCGACGGATAATTCCCGTATTGGGCGGCAAACGGTTTACAGTAGACGTCTTTCATAAAAGGTGGATCCCTGTCTTTCATTTCGTAGTTTTGGTGTTCACATAAAATGGGTTCCTTGACATGACAATTGTCATGACAAACTGTATGAGAAATGAAAGACAAATGGTTCTTTAGAAAGAAGTCTATAAAACATTTAAACAAACAAGTTTGAGAAATGCTGGACGAGTATAAAATGGTTAAATATTCACGTATTTTGAAACCTTGACATACATTCAAAACCGTTTTTTCCTAATTATAATTTATGTCCGCACTTCTAGTTCAAAACGGGGCAGAAGTACTGTGTTGAAAGGACATGATAATGTAAGGACGACGAAGCGAAAAAAGGTTGTGAACAGATAAAAGGCAGCAGTCATTTCAAATTGATAAGCAGCAACAGAGCATTCTCAATGACCCACGTGACCTGACGTAAAAAGTATGAAAAACAATTGGAAGCAGGGCCCGTGCTGGATGGGTACCGGTTACAGCATGTGGCAAAATAAACCTTTCGCGAGTTCAATTTGAATAAAATCTGGTACACCGAGTTAACCGATTGCACATAAACATACACATTTTAATTCTCCAGACTAAAGATACAAGGCAATACCTCGGGGAATTTGGGGAAGCTTTTATATAAAGCAACCACCATCTCTGGATTGGCCTGATTTCTTTGTGTCCTTCTCATCCAAAACAGTGAAAAGTGCAAGGCATCTTTTATGTAACCAGACAAAAGCTTGCCCCCAATCACAAGCTATAACAACAGTCTCTTTATTGTGTAAAAATTCAAACCGTTAATTTCATGAAATCATTGAGTACCGGATTTTATTCAAATTTAACCCCCAAAAGGCCCACTGGGTTGACTGTAATTCCACGTGATACAGAATTCAAGGTTTTTTTCATGTGAGGATTAGCCCATAGTGAAGATTAGGATGTTTAAGTGTATCATTGATATTTAAACAAAAGTTTGATCTCGGAAAAATAATGTGGTTATTAGGTGCTTTGACGTCTTTGGAGTGAAACCTATATAGGTTTTATTGAAGTGAATGAAGGTTTTACGCTGTACTCGTGCCAGAAGTCGAAATAAGAGGAGCTGCAGACCGGGTCGTTGATGCTTCAGCTGTTACAAGTGTTGGTGGTGTGAGTGTCGGTGTTGTCTTCATCGTTGCTATTCAGAAAATCCAAATCATAAAGCAATGGCTTAGCTGTAGTCAGCATTTTTAAACAAGAATTTTTTTCAGATTTATATTTTGCAGAAACAAATAATTGACAAGAAAAAAATAAAAAACCTTCCACTTACGAAACTCGGGGCAGCACATCTTTGGGTCTCTTGTGGACTGTAAGAAAAACAGAACAATGAAATTATTCCAAATTAAATTTAAGAAAAATGTTTGGGGTTTAACTTAATTTAAGACTAAAGAGTTCCTATTAAGGTAATGCTGACACACTGTTACCACGTAACAACCAGTGAACTTAAGGTCTCATGAAAATGCCTGCTGTATTCACGGAGATAGTATTTGAAAGATGCTTGAAAAAAGATAACTTGAAGTTGAGCCATTCTAGGCATTATACAACTTGAAGATAAAATTTCTCACATTTGAACTCGTGCCGCACAGTTTAATAGTGCATGTCACACACATCGACTCTTCGCATACACAGACTGTACAGTCGTCTGGCCACCACACTTCACCGACCTGAAATACAGCCAAAACAAAAAAAGTTGCTTGGGTTAAGCATAAACGCAAACGATTCAACAATCGTACAAAAGTTCCGTTACACATCATCTCCCAAATAGTGTTTTCCTGTAAAACCAGCATTTCAATTGCTGTCATTCATAAATAAAACATCTGTTTCATTGTTTTCTTTTTCCCCCTTTCCTGTCAAAAATAAAAGACATTTTACCTTTCTGTAGACAGCGGGGTAATCGCACTCATATATACAATAACCTGCAGTGATTGCAATAAAAACAAAACAGAATTTACATGTGAAGAGTTTATGTTCAAAATATGCAAATCGACAATCCATATTCTGACTGGTTGGCATCTGTTTTCCAAATGTTCGTAATTGTGCCCAAGCTCGATCTTTCAACACCGCAAAGCAGGCCTTGGTCTTGGCCAAAAATCTTACTTTCAGTGATGAAGGTCTTTCAATTTGTCTGCCGATGATACAAAACGGAGCATTAATGCATAGACCAAATCTAATATAACCATTGCAGGCTATGAAAAGAACTCAGTAAAGTATTGACAAAATGTTTTCCTACTAATCCCACTGTTCATCTAAGAAAAATTGACAATTTGAAAGCTAAAGTTGTCTCTTAATTTTTTTTTCGAAACAACTAAGAACTTCCTCCATCAACCCCAAAAAACATAATCAAGTAAACGATAAGACCATCAAACTTCCTTTTCGCTGCATCCTTTTTAATCTATCATGCAGTCATTATTGCTGGAAACGTTGGGCCAAAATAGGAGGGCATTGGAGGGAAAGTTAAGTTGCAGCCCCCCCCCCCAAAAAAAATGGTTTCAAATGCATTAACGGCTAGTTAGTCCACTCATTGGAGATTATTGGTCAGTAAAAGTATGTCTTGCCACTTTTCTTTTTGGTTCTTATCAAAAGATTTTGATTTTTTCACGTCCCCCAGAAGTTTATGATACTAACCCTCAGTTGTTGGGCTTATACTTGGACGTGCTGCTGTTGTATGTTCTGTAGGAATTTGAAAAAGACAATTCATATTGTTCAATATAAACTAAAGCCTGCCTGCCTTATGGGAAGACGTACAAACGTAGCCATGTGACTATAACGCGAGCAGTTTCCGGGTAATGTGTTAACCAGCTAGGTTCAGTTCCGACAAAAGAAGCCTCCGTTGCAAAGCAAATAACGCCCTCTTCCATGGTCCAGCTCGATACCCATTGAGGACACAGAGTGGAGGAACTTGCCATCGAAAAGGGCAAGTGGGGGATAGCAATCTTCGGAGAGGCAGCTGTAGCGGAGATAGAGTGGCGAGAAGGAATAACATGCTGGAAACAACCAGCCCATGGCGTGGTGGCGTAATCCTGTGGATCTCATGTGGCCAATAAACAACACACGTAAGCATCACTCGGTTTCCTCCACCCTTTGAAGAAATGGTTCATTCATCAGAATGCAAATTAACATTAGCATGGGGCTAAACCCTAAAGAACCAACAAAACATGTCATTTCGTAGATCTAAGGTATGGAGGACTCAAAATGGGTTGAATGGGAGACTGAAGGGAACCGAGTCACCAAGTTATGTCTATTCTTCTTTACCTCATTAAAAACAAGAATACATGGCGGCCACAAACCCTAAATAATTGTAAGTAGTAGATATTCCTCGTCAACTAATCGGGTACACTTTTCACAGCTAAAAACTACAGGACTGCTCTTCGAAATTCTTTTAATCATAGGACAGCTTGTTTATTGAGCTTTAGCAAAGGTGTTCATTACTGCCCATTTTCTCTACTGAGTGGAGCGTTAGTATTCCTCGTTTCGAATTTTGAACGGGATCGTCATATACTATTAAACGCTCCAAGCCCGTACATATAGTAAGGTGAAAATGGTTCAAAAAATTCCAAAGACTCTCCCAAAATACCTCTACCACCACCTCCTGGCTTCCGAAAATGCCAACGTCAAACGGTTGGGGCTTCAATAATTTTTCTTACTTCAAAATCTGTCAAAATCCGATCGTTTTCGCTCGACACACGCATAGCACTTAAACTTTTTGCCGCCTCCTCCCATTCAAGTACGGGCATGAAGAGTTTCTGGCGTTAACCATAAGTACACTGTGAGATGTAGAGTACCCTACTCTTGCTACTAAGTAAGTAGAAGCTGCAGAGAGCCTAACAACGTGGGACATCAATGCCAGCAGATGGCAACACCTTTTTGTAGTTATCTTGCAATGGTGGATGATATTGTTGGATGATGGGATTTCCCAAATGAGAGAAATAGCCTGGAAAATCATTGGGCGTTGTTAAGCTTTCAGGTACATGTAATCGTGTGCGATAGATATACACCCAGCCGGCTGACTGATTCAAGATCGAATGCTGTCCTAGACTTCTTCAAGTTGCTCCAGTCAAGAGCGGTCAGTGACAAGCCTTGCAAATAAAACTATCCACTCCAAGTGTACCAATACCATTTTAAATAATGTATTTCAAGTAATGTTCCAATGTTTGGCTTCTCGGCCAAAAAAGAAACAGTAAAAAACCCAAACTGATCCCCCTGGAAATATTCCTGGATCCGCCCCTGCCCTGTTGTAATTAAAGCAACCAACAAGACAGATTTTAGTGTGAGAAGCATAAACTCATCTTCCTGTTTGACGGGGGTGAACCAAGCTAATTGAGACTTTTCATAACATCCCAAGTAAAAGATTGTCTGGCTTTGGGTGGCACAATATCAAGGATACCTTAAAATACTTATGGCCTGTCTTCTTATCTAAATATGAAGAAACACCAAAACACAGGAGCTTGAATTGGATCAATATTTCTATGATGACACCAGCGACTCCGGCGATTCCAGGCTGAGTTAAATTGAGCATTAGCTATTTTGCTTTAAGACGTGATAACTGTGGATACCTGTGAAAGTCCACTTGCTACGAGAAAGAGCACCGAAGCGCCCGCTGCATCACTATGTGCATGGGATATTGTCAAGGGTTGTGACATTACTGAAAGTCGGGGGACGGTGGTAAGAGTGATGCTGTTGGTACCGTCATTTCTAAACATCAGTGAATACTACAGACCTCTATCATGGGGCAGACATCCTGCTATTCTACCATTCAAAGCAATATAACCAAACTGATTCTGGAAGGAAAAATAGTCTGCTTCCTTTTAACATGTGAAGTTGTATTACTCTAGCCGATGGGTCTACCTGGTCTCCCCGGTCCTAGCTTCGTAGAAGAGTCTGACCGCGTTGGTGCGTCCTCCGCAGAAAGCATCAAGAGGGATGAGTGGGGTGGGAACTTCCAAGGCCTCAATGTATTCTCTCATTGAGTCATCCTCCTTCAACTGCGCATCGAACTCGCATTCCCACTGCACAATTTAGCGATAGCCCTGGTCGATGATGAACGGCAGTTTCTCAATGATTTTCTGGTATAGTTCTTCCACTGTCAAATTGTTGACGGGGTATTTTGTGGTACGGTCTAGACAAGTGTGCCCATGATAAATACAGCTGTGGAACTCCAGAACAGTCTTGCCCCCGCCTCGTAGTAACCGTCCACTTAGTATTTCCCCAAGCATACCTCACCATTGTTTGCCGCGTGTTGAATATAATAACCCGTTCGATAGGTCATCCATTTCAGCCATTTCAACGCTTTGACGGACTGTCTGTCGTTATAGCTGTATCCCAGAGGATGAATGATGCCGATGGTCGCAGGCTGTTACACGAGATTACAAGCAGACGCTATGGTAATGCAATGTTGGAAGGGGTCAATGCCAGGGGTGTTCTCATCAGCTGTCATATCTATAAACAGAGCTCTGAAACGGAGACAGAATTGGCGGATAATGTCCACATCGGATAAGCATTATTTACTGATTTCCTTTTTGAAATCGAACTCATCATTCTGATGTAGGTCGTACCAGTTCATGAGTTTCTGCCTGTCTCCTGGGATCATGGCTGCAGGGTTGTAATATTTCATGTCAGGCAGATGGGTCATGATCTTATCTTGGTTCGCTCGTTGAAGAAGTACGGAAGGTAGCCTTTGGCCAACTCTTTCAGACCAAACGCACCTAGTAGCTTGGAGAGGGGGATAGGGAAGAAGTTGAGAGAGTCAATGAATTTCATGTCATTGACTGCAACCTCGATACTCCTGACCTTAGATCCGTTGAAAATGACTTCAGGCAAAACTGCATTGTCATACAAATACCGCAAAATAAAATAGAGTCGTATCCTTGGAAGTTTTGACACAGAACGACAGAACCAGCATTGGCTTCTCCAAAAAGCCATTCACAGAATTCCTTCTGTGTATCTGAACCATGAAACACTCGATGTCGACCCGCACATCGTTGGCAGGTCGTATTATCTTCTTGGTCTAAACACTGAATGCAGACTTTGTGAGCAATGCACAGATTGGGCTCGTGAATGCCTGTCTCCTGCATATACTCAGTCAAAGAAGTCAAAAGTCAAAGAAAATACAGGATCCCGTCTTTTCGCTTACATCACCATCTACCTCCTCCTGATCATTAAATGGGACATCTTCGACTAAAGTTTCTTCAGCTGAAGGGCTCATTTCCACTGCCGACTGCATATAACACAGATGATCCTGGAGCACGTACTCTCTGCATACGGAACAGTATTTCTCTCCACATACGTGTTTCTTCCGTTTGTGGCGTTTTCGATTGACGAATCGGCTGCAATCCTGACATATGTACGGTGGGTTTTACATACGGAATTACCAGCGCTATTTTGTTTCAGATGATTCTCGAAGCACGCCGTGCTTTTGAAATGCCTGTTGCAGTCATAGCAGTACACCCACTGTTCCTTCATAGAGTTGATTTGGAAGCTGAGCTTGCACGAATTTGCGCACCGGTGTTCTATTTTTATGTTATAGCCTGTTAGGACAGGACAGGCAAAAGTAACTACCATTGAGAAAAGCGGGCATTTTGGTGCTGACATCATAATGACCGTGATGGTAGGAATTTTTTTTTCGGCTGTTGGTCCTCTGAATATAATAGCATTGGAATGTTCTTTTTGATGCGAGCACAATTTGATATTCCGGAGGAACACCTTGGAACAATTTTATTTCTTCCACGCCACACCTATTCAGAGGTACTCGAGCTTGCCGGTGGAGATCTTCAGCCAACGTCTGTTGTAGCAAATATCCTCTTCGATAGAATCCCACCGTTCACGCCCGTTGATTTTGGCCTTGGCACTAACAATAACTCTCGCACAACACAGGTCTTCTTTGTTGATAATCTGGATGATGCATTTCTTCTCTTGTAGAAACCTGCCAAAGTTAACATAGCGTTCCTTGGAAACTCTACCGCCCAAAGTCATGGCGACGTGGGTAATGCTGATCTGGAGACTACTATCTAAAGAAAATTGCTCATTGCTCTGGATCACCTGCTCAATCTGGGCTAAAAATCTGTCAATCGTCAACTAATCTTTGTGATGAACAGCAATTAGATTGGGTAGTCCAGCTCAGGACTCATCACCACCACACGTAAAGGATCATTTGGACAGGCGCTCTCAGTCAACGTCTCAAACAGACTGTCAGATACTCGGTGAAGCGTGACACTGTACTCTAACCCTTTGATGTTGAATCTTCTCATGTGGACTTCCTCGACCATCGTTACTTGGTAGAGATCAGTGACGTCCCCTACAGACTCGACACCCGTGATCATCTGACGTTTTGGAGGATACTCGTCTTCAACAGACGCCCGTAACCAATCTGCACTCCACGGTGTTGGGTAGTAAAGTGCCTGATGTAGTTTTCTCGCCTGGCAAACACTTTCCCGCACACTTTGCACTGGTATTGATCAGGGTTTTCGTGATGGGCGACGTGGCGATGGTAATTACCACGCTTGAAAAATGCCTTGCCGCATATCTTGCAAGTAAACATCTGCAACAGAAAAAATAACAAACAACATAAGTTAAGGATTACACAATAAAGGGTGAAATCAAAAGCATTCTCACCGTAATTCGACTCGGAGTACATTCATTGGAAACCTGATTACATGCAAAATGATGAAGATGAG